TGTGTGTGTGTGTGTGTGTGAGAGAGAGAGAGAGAGAGAGAGAGAGAGAGAGAGAGACAGAGACAGAGACAGAGAGAGACAGAGAGAGACAGAGACAGTTCAGAGATTAACAAATGTAGATGTGTGTGTCAGCTCTGTAATAACGCAGCTTGTTTCAGGACAATAGAGATGTACTTAGGTAAAATCTCTAAAATAGTGTAATAGATCATTATCATAGATGTGGTATTACCTACATGAGACTTAAAGTGTGAGTGGGAACTTTACTTCCCTTAGTAGCGTATTTTATTTAACATATAATTTAATGTCTGTATACAAACTTATTTTGAACATTTGTTCGTAGTATATATAAATAACATTTTAAAGGGCTTAGACTCTTAGGTTGTGCCCATCACTTTCAGGAGCGTTGGAATTTCTGAGTCTCGAGAGGCAGTACTTTAGTGCACACTTAATTTAATAGACAGGGTAAATAACTTTTACATCCAAGGCCACAAGATGGCAATAGTAACTGGATCACAATCAGTTTCTTACTAATATGTAATTTTAACTGGGAGAACATACATTTGACTAGAAAGGGTGGGGTGTAAATTTGTTGTACTTTGGTTATTTTATTTAGCTCAGGATTTCTGATAGAGAAACATGGTGTTAACAGGAAGGATAGTGTTCCTGATACTAAGGAAATTATAACTGAAGTTTAAAGAACAAGTTAGGCAAACCACAGTACTAAATCTTTTTTCTTTCTGTGCATGTGTAGTCTGTGTGTGTGTGTGTGTGTGTGTGTGTGTGTGTGTGTGTGTGTGTGTGTGTGTATACATGAGTGCAGATGCCTGCAGAGGCTAGATCTCCCTGGAGCTGGGGCTACAAGAAGTTGTGAGCTGTCCAACATGGTTGCTGGAAGCCAAACGTGGGTCTTTTACAAAAGCAGTCTAAGCACTTAACCGCCGAGCCATCTCTCCAGCCCCTGAAATATGATTTTGAAGTAGCCAGTAATGGCTATTTAACATAGTATATTATTTATGGAACTGAATTTTCCCTATAGAAAGCAGGGCCTACCTAAACTAATTCATCTATGATATCACTTTGAAGATTAAAAAAATCTGGTTCCCACAAGTGGTGGATACAGCTCAGTGGTAAAACACTTGCCTAGCAAGTTCAATGTCTTAGATTCAATCCCTAGTTCCACCAAAAAATATCTGGTTCTGTATTGTATGTACAACTTATACATAAGTGTATATTATTAGCATATATTTGACATTTTACTTCTGAGTAGTTTCTGACAACTTATAGAAGGAAGCAAAAAAGAGATTATAATTTGTGACCAAGAAAATTAATCCTCAGAGTCTTGAGATATGGCTTAGTGGTGAAGAGCACTCTTACAGAGGACCCAAGTTCAGTGTCCAGAACCCAAGTCACCTCCAGCAGACCCAAAACCTCTGGTCTCCAAGGGCACCAGCACTCAACATGCATATCCACCCCCCACATACAGTTAAAAAAATAAGTCTTATCAGAAATTGACACTTAAGATAGGAAGGAATGCAGAAACTTGATGGCCAGTGCAGCGCAATAAATTTAGAGCAAGGGAGCAATAACTTGAGAGCAAGGGAGTGCTGATGAGAGGGTAGGCAGCTCAGACCAGCAGGGGTCAGTCAACAGTCTGGGGGAGATTCTCTTCAAAGAAGCACAAGGATGTGCAGGTCCTCTCCTGAGTGGGTAACTGTGGGAGCAGGTTGGATCATACTTCTTTATGTTCCTAACAGGATGACCATCTATCTTCCTAGGTTAGGAGGGTAAGTAGGATTTCTTCAAGATTATTTGCAAGTGATTCTCAGTATTTCATATGCACTTTATGTTAGGTACTTTTAAAGTTTTAAAGTAATACTCAACACTTACTTTTTAGGAATCTGAGAACCGGCAAATAATGGAACAACTCCGAAAAGCCAACGAAGATGCTGAAAACTGGGAAAATAAAGCCCGCCAATCAGAGGCAGAAAACAATACCCTCAAATTGGAACTTATCACTGCTGAAGCAGAGGCCAACAGATTGAAAGAAAAAGTTGATGCCCTTAACAGAGAGGTTGAGCAAGTAAGTTTATAGAAATATGCTTACAGTACATCCGTATCATATTTAATTGAGCTTTCCTTGGCTTTTCATAAGTTTAATACATTGACAGTTTAATTATATAAATGCACTGTAAATTATAGCTTGGTTTTCTTAGGTACTCACAACCAGAATAATCATCAGCTTTTTTTTTCTTAAATTGGGAACTGTTTCAAACAAAAAGAACATATTTTTGAAAAATAATAAAACACGTCTATTCCTGTCCTACAGATGTAATGACATTAGCATATTGCCACATTTGCTTCATATATCTTTGTTTAAAGAAATGAAATATCAGAGGCAGGAGCAATAGCTCAGTGGTTAAGAACTCTTGCTGATCTTCCACATGTAGTGGCTCATACCACCTGTAATCATAGTTCCAGTAATTGACTCCCTCTTCTGGCCTCCATGGATACCAGCACTCATGTGGCATGCACACACACACACACACACACACACACACACACACACACACACACACATAAATGAAAAGAAACCAAACATTAAAACTACAACTTTTCACCCCCATAGTGGGTACGTATAGATTTCACGTTATTCTAGTTGCTTTTCATGAATTCACACTCTTTGTATGCACCCCTCATGCACCAATGATATATAATGTTTTCTGTTTTCAGGTCAGTCTTGTATATTTATGTGCACATGTCAGTGTGGTGGCATGTATGTGAAAGCTGAGGTTGACATCTGGCATCTTCCTCAATCATTTTCATTTTGCCCATGACCGTCCTGTCTGCTTTCCCAGTGCTGGGGTTACAGTTGTGCTCCACCATGCCTGACCTTTTTTGAAACACAGTTTCTGAGAGGTCAAACTCAGGTCCCCAGTTTGCATCGCAAGCATTTTGCTGACTGAGCTATCTTCCCAGACCTCCCTCCCTTCCCTCCCTTTTTCCCTCTGTGTGTGTGTTTTAAGATTTTGTTTGTACTTTCAATTATATGTGTGTATGTGTGTGCATGTGTGAGAAAGAGGGAGAAGGAGAACGTTTGTGCATGTTAGTGCAGTGCCCATGGACATGAGAAAAGCATGTTGGATGCCCTGGAGCTGGAGTTACAGGGGATTGTCAGCAGCCTGACGGTGCTGGAGTCAGACTCCTGTCTGACAATGGCAGTGTGCTCTCTTAACTGTGAGTTATCTCTCTGGTTCTCACGCTTCCATTTATTAGGGCTCAGGATTTGGTTCTATATCAGGTGCTTGCCTAGCACAGCTGAAGGCCTGAATTCATCCCTGGCACTACAAATACTTTTATTTAAATGATAAAATCTACTAGATACCTATTTGCAACTAGCCTTTTTAAGGTCAGTAACAATTTTAAAAAGTCATCTGTTTTGTTACACAGATACTTCAAGCAGTGGCATATATTCATTGTATAAATATTTTCATTCCTTAATTATTCTTATATTAAGGGAATTCAATTTCCCCCCTTTTCTGTAGTAAAGTGTTCTGTAACAAATATTCTTTTTATTTCTCCTGGCTCTGTTTCTTTAGGCTTATTATGCCTGGAAGCAAGTACTGGATCTAAGACACACACCATTTCACTTAGTTTATCAAATTGCCTTCTAATAGTTTACTTTTGCCAGGTGGCACATGCCTTTAATCCCAGCACTCAGGAGGCAAAGACAGGCAGATCTCTGTGAGTTCGAGGCCAGCCTGGTCTACAAAGCTTTTTCCAGGACAGGCTCCAAAGCTACAGAAAAACCCTGTCTCAAAAAACAAACAAAAAAGTTTACGCCTGCCAGAAACCATGGGTTATAATTTGCTTAAATACTATTTTTAATCTTTAATTTTTTTTCACAGTTGTGTTTTGTGTTTCCCAGATTATAAGTGAAATTGAGTGTCTTTATGCTTCTTTTTAAAAACTGTAACTGAAACTTTTAATTAAGTTTTAATTAACACAACAAAAATTACACACAACTCTCAGAAGCAACAGTATTCATTAGAAATTAACTTGAAAATTTTCCTTCCATTATTGTTAGTAATGTATTTTTTAAAATAAGCTTCTTCTGTGTTGAAAAGGATTGTGTGTTCTAAAAATATTTTTAATGGACATGTAGGACCTCTCTAATGAACTACTTCCAAATATGGCTAAGATGCTGAGGCTTTTCCTTCAGCGGGAGTAAAGTCAGTTTTAGAAGCACAATGCCAGGAAGCTGGGAGTTCTGGAGAAAGCCGACACTTGGCTGTTTCAACAGCAGGTGGCACATGTCTGGTGGAGAAACAAGTTACAGGGTTTAGTGTTTCTTGACCACTTGAGGGTCTTCTCACATGGTTTTTCTGCTACATTTCCTTTGAATGGATTTTTCTTTTTAATTTTTAAAAAATTTTGTGTGCAAGAGTGTTTGCCTGGATGTATGTGTACATGGGACCCATGCAGGCAGGAAGAGGGCATCAGATTCTCTGGAACAGATTACAGATGATTGTGAACAGCCTTGTGGGTGCTAGGATCCAAACCCTAGTTCTCTGGAAGAGCAGGAAGTACTTTGAATCATTGAGCAATCTCTCCAGCCCATTGAATGAACTTTTCTTAAATCTGTATACATTTTTTCTATTCAGTTGTTAATATTGTTCATATTAAGTCACAGGAGTCCTCTATATATTCTTGATTACATTCTTTTTAAGGTTTAACAGTTAACTTGTCTTTTCATTTACTTGCAAGATAAAAAGATGTTAAACCCAGATGCACTTAGAATTATTACTAATCTTTTTCCATATGGTTTATGATCTTATGTTTTCTAAAGAATTCCGCAGTGTCCTATGACCTGAAAGACATTTTCCTATATTTTTATTTAAACTTATATAGAGGTTGGGACAGATAAGAAAAAGGTGGGTATTGTTACTAAAGTACAGTTAGGGGAGGGGAAATGCTTATAATATTCCTCAGTAGTCTAGGTTACTACAGCTTACAGCAGTGAATAACTAGCGAGTTGATATCAGAAATTAGTATCAAAGGAGACACAAAACTGTTGATACCCTGATTTGGTATATTGTATACCCTGATTGCATATTGTATGCATGTATTATATTCCATCAATACTATGTGTCAATTTCAAAACAAAAGTTATTCTAAAAATATAATTAGGTATGTGGAATATTTTTGTAAGTGTCTATCATCCCCTTCTTCCATGATGTTTCCTGAGCTTAAGGGAAAGGTGTGATATATATGTCCCATTTATGGTTGATCATTCCAGACAGTTATTCTCTGCACTTTGACCAATTGTAAGTTTCTACACTGAGCACCATCCAGTGCACAAAGACACTCCTCTGATGAGAACTGAAAGCTCCACATATCTGTGGGTATAGCGATACATACATATTTAGAAGGCAGTTTGATACTGTGGCCATTTAGCAAAGTAATAGGATCACACCTAGAACCCATGATCTCTCTAGCCATGGGTTCTATCATTCTTTTTCTTTGAGATAGGATCTCAGTGTCTAGCTCAAGCTGACCTTGAACACATGATATTCCTGCTTATGTCTCCCAGGTTATAGTCATCTACTGCGCCACCAGGCTCATAACCTTATGCATTTTCAAGTTACTGCTTTTTGTAATACCTTTATTGAGAATCATGCCTGGGTCATACAGTTCTCCCAAGTATATTCACTGGTATTTGGAATATTGAGAGTTATGACCCTGTAAGAACGAGCACCTTTGAACATTTTCATCACCATTAAAAGATACAAAGTACTCATTAGCTATCACAACCAGCTACTCTAATTTTTTCATGTCTTGATCCATATTGGGTTAGATTTTATACATAGTATCAAATATAATTTTACACCCCCCCTGAGAGAAATCTTACTTGGTTATTACATATAATTATTCTTTTTTGGTGTTATATTTGGTTTTCTAGTAATTTGTGTTGTTTTTTTCTTATAACAACCTGTGTGCTTTTAGTATCCAAGTAATACTAACTTCATATAGTAATGGAAATGTTTCTTTTGCTTCCAGTTTCTGTAAGAGTTTGTATATAGATGGTGCCAATTCTTTAAAGGTTTAGTAGATTCAAAGCTAAAGCCATCTGAATCTGTTCTTTGTAGAAAGTTTTTAAATTTCTAGTCAGACTCTTTTTGTTATGGGCCTGTTCTGTTTCTCTTAGGTTAATTTTAATAGTTCGTGCCTTTTTTTTTTAAAGGAATTTTCCAATATCATAGCAGTTAATTTAATGGCATAGTATATCTTTATACTTCTTTTATTTAATAAGTCACACTTGTGGTTGCTTGGTTTCATCAAATCAAGAATATCTTTGACCATTATTTACTTAAGCATTTTTTCCCTTGTCTTTACCCTGAGACGCTGGAATTTAAAGTATAAGTGTGTGGGTCACTTGATACTATTCCACAGATTATGAAGGCTGTGTATGTTTTTCATGTCTTTTCTTCTCTGTGTTCTGTTTTGCATAGTTGATATTTTTGTGTGTCATGAGTATGTTATGTAGTAAATACAGATGAGCACTGTCTTTATACAATGTCATAATTCGTTGAATAACAATGTGTTCACAGTCTAAGTCAGTTTATTAGTTGTTATTTGCCCAGTAATACAAATTTTGCTTGATGGCTAGTTGTTGGCAACCACAGATTCTTTCATTCTATTCTTACTTACTAATAAGTAATTAGTACTTTACACTTTACATATTTATGTACATGGGTTATAGAATGTCCACAAAGAGTTTGAAACACTGTGGAGTTCAGCAAGCCCGTCCTGAAGATGGAGGCTGAGACCTGACACGGGTGCAAGAAGGGTCTAGAGGGTCAGATAAGACATTGCCTGAGCCAGCTCACAGGTGCACAGCTCCCCCAATATTCAGGTGCAGCTCAGGGACTTTGCTTTGGCAGATTTCCTAGACAAGACTCATTAGAGAAGTCACTGACTAGTTGGAGGAGCTTGGAGGGCTTCTTCTAAAGTCCCAGGTAAGGTTACATGTACTTTGATTGATAAGGACTCTGGTATTTCTAATATGATTTGGTATGTTTTCTGGTATCATTGTTCATTGGTGTGATCCTTGGAGCTCATTAGCCAATCAATTTAGCTGAATTGGTGAGCTCCAGGTTCAGTGAGAGACCTCATCTTAAAATATAACTTGAAAAATGACTGAGGAATATACTTCATGTGGACCTCTTGCCTCCACACCTATGAATGCACACAACCACATAGACACACATACACACACACACACACACACACACACACACACACACACACACACACGGGGGAGGGGAGAGGGAGGGAGGGAGGGAGAGAGAGAGGGAGAGGGAGGGAGGGAGAGAGAGGAATGATTTAGAGTCACTTCTAAATGGGCCTCCAGCTCATAAATAATGACATGGAGACATTATTAATTATAAAAGCTTGGCCTTAGCTTAGGCTTGTTCCTATCTAGTTCTTATAACTTAAATTAACCCATATGTTTAAATCTACATTCTTCCACGTGCTCTTTATCTCATCTCTATTTTGCCCATCCAGCTTTCTCAATATCTGCCTGGAGATTTCTCCTCCTTTTTCTCTCCCAGAGCTCTCTATCCTCAGAAGTCCCACCTAACCTTTTCCTGCCTAGCTAATGGTCATTCAGCTCTTTAATAAACCAATCACAGTGACACATCTTTACACAGTGTAAAGGAATGTTTCACAACAGTCACTTCTTCTTGACACTTAAAATGGAGTAACTCAGATCAAGGCTGTTGCTATGTAAGATGAAGTCATTCAGGGTCAGGTGCACATTGAAAGCTGATATCCGTACAACATAGACTCCCAGAGTAGGCCCTGTATGTTCCACTCATTGTCTCCTAGTACTATCATCTCTGCCATTTTGTGTCTGTTTACAATGACTGATGTTCATTCTGGTTGTGTACCCAGTTTTTCTGAAAATTTACAGGTCTGGCGTGTTATTTTTGTATTCATTTGTCTTATTTCTGAGACAATTTTGATATGCACATGCTTGCCTTGAACTTGCTACATAACCTTGAATTTCCTTGTGTGTGTGTATGTTACCAGTGATTGAGCCTAGACATTCTACCACTGATTCATTTCCTAGTCCTTCTCTTACTTTTCATTTTGAGTCTTGTGAAATTGGCCAGGCAAGCCTTCAGCTTTCAATCTTTCTGCCTCTTGATACCTGAGATTACAGGCCTGAGTCATCAAGCTCAGTTTAACTAATTTTTAAAAATCTGTAATATTTTTTCTGCTAACTAATAAGTTTTTATGTTGCTGGTACATTTAGCTTCACTATTGCTTGTTTCATGCTTTCTGTTTTTCCATCTTACATACTTGGTTTTTTATGCATTTCTGGCTGCCACTGCTCATCAGTATAGAAGTTACACATTCAATATTTTTTCCTTTAGATGTTAAAGTTATAATTGCTAATATAACCAACTCCCTAAGACTGTTTGACTAATGAGTACCACACCTACCACTCACTAGCACACACCTCTGCTTTCTTTGTCAATCTCCCCATTTTCATAATCTTGTCATGCACTATTTTAATTTCACATTGTCTTTATATGTTCCAATATGTAATTATTGTTGTTCTTGTGATCAGTACTGTTTGTATCTACCTATAGCCTTATAAGACCCATGTTCACTTGCTTCTTGTCCTATTTCTTCCTTAGTTCCTTTTCTGTCCTTCCTTCCTGCAGAAACCAGTGTGTTCATTATTTCCATCTCATTGAAAATGACTAGTGTACCATTAGTCTTGAGAATTAATTTAGCTGAACATTGAATTCTAGACTGAGAATATTTCCCTTTATAATTTAAAAAATAACCTGGTAGGGGTTGGAGAGATGACTCAGTGGTTAAGAAGGCATACTGATTTTGCAGAGGACCCAAGCTCAGTTACCATATTCACATTGGGCAGCTCACAACTGCCTGTAATACTATCTCCAAGGGATTTGATGCTTTTTTCTGGCTTCCAGGGGGTACTTACATGCCTGTAGTGTACACATACATAGACATACACACATACACATAAATAAGAATAGAAAGAAATCTTTGACATAGTAACCCCTGTCTTTTTTATTTTTATTTTTTTGGTTTTTCGAGACAGGGTTTCTCTGTGTAGCTTTGCACCTTAACTGGATCTTGCTCTGTAGACCAGGCTGGCCTCAAACTCAAAAAATCCGCCTGCCTCTGCCTCCTGAGTGCTGGGATTAAAGGCATGCACCACCACTGCCTGGCAACCCCTGACTTTTTTGTTAGTAGGTCTGTTTTTTTATTCTAGCTGTCACTCCTCAGATGTTTGCCTTTGCCATTGGTTTTCTCATAGTTTGAAATCTACTGTCACATGCCTAGGTTTGTTTTCTCTGGCCTTGGTAGTTTGGATTTTTCTTTTTCTGTTTCATTCAGAGTACTTGTAGCTCTTACTAGTTCTGGAAAATTTTCAGATATTACTTCTTGAACATTACTGCTTTCTAATTCACTCTATTGTCCCCTCAACTCTTACTTATCTTGAATCATTCCCTTTGTTGATTGGTCTTTGTCATAGTTTCTGCATGTTTGTGTTCTATACCTTGTCTTCCAGTTCACGCTTCCCTTTTCATTTGTTTAAGTTTGCTCTTGATATTTTTGTTACGGCTTTTATTACAGGTACTGCCTTCCTTTCTAGATGTTTTATTCGATTATTTTTCAAATGTGCCTATTTTTCCATGTGCTACTTTTTTCTTTTCAGATTCATTCCTTAATGTCTTTAGTACTTTCCAGCGTATTTTGCCATGCCAATGAAAATATTTTGCTCAGGAATGTAGATTTCTGGAAGTGAGGTCTTGTTCTGTTGTTCCAGCCGTCCTTTGACCTCCTGTATCACAGGCTTTCCTCCAGAGAATCATCCACCCCATGGAATCTTGTGTGGTCTCAGTGTGGTGCTGCTCCTCCAGGAGGGTACATTTGCTTTTGTAAAGTGGCTGTAGGTTATCACTGATGGGACAAACCTTATGCTAACATTTAGAACTAGAGATGAGTAAAGTACCATTCCAAAAGTAAGTCAGAATTAAAAGTTTATATTTATCACAGAAAAAATTGTGTTCTTATCCAGAGATAAACTTTTAGTGGTTTCTGTATGGCTGAGTAGATTTCCCTCTAAAGCCTTCTTTCATTTATAGTACATTATTCAAGAGTCCCAGATTATTATGTAGAAGTCACAGTCATGGTTCTTTTTATTTGGGGTGTGTGTGTGTGTGTGTGTGTGTGTGTGTGTGTGTGTGTGTGTTTTACTGGCAATTAAACCCATAGTCTTACGTTTGCTAAGCAAGGTGCTATATCCCTAAGCTGAAAACCCTTCTATTGCTTTGCTTCTTTTGGGTAAATGGAAATTTCTTCCTTTTTTGTAAGCTCAGATGTGGAAATAATAAAATGTTTTGTTGCGGAGTGTGGTGGCACTTGGAAAGCAGAGGCAGGTGGAACTCTCTGAGTTCAAGGCCAGCCTGATCTATGTCTACATAGTGAGTTCCAAGCCAGCCAGAACTGCATAGTGAGACCCTGTTTCAAAACAAAATGTTTTGTTGCTCAGTTTTATCTTGAGACTTTTCTCCTTAGCTTAATCAATCCTTTTAGTAGAGCCTACAACATCCAGAGTGATCTTTTAAAACTCTGAAAGCCTGGTTATATCACCTCACCATTTGAAGATCACAGCTTACTAAACCTTGCCTTACTGTGTTTTGTAAGTTTCACCTATTTTCTCTGTGAGCTCTAAGTTCCAGTCACACCAGCCTTCTCTCAGTTCTTGGAGCATATTATTCTTCTTGCATTCAAACAGAGCTATGGCACTTTGCATTTTTTTCCAGCTTGAAATGCCTCTTCTCGCTATTTGCCTACTCCCTGTTCAGTCATTTACTTAGGGAAGTCTTTCCTGACTCTCTGATTCTTTCAGTGTAGGTCAGGTTTTTTTGTTGCCTACTATTTTCAGAAATATTTTCTTAAAATGTTTATACATTCATCTGTAACATATTTGAATAATACAGAACCCCCTCAGTAGTAAAGGTTTGTGGGAGCAGAGGTAATTTTGCTTCCCATTGAATTTGTCTCTAGGCACAGTGACTGACTATAGCATACAAAGTAGTCTGTAAAGATATGAGGGATGGGTAGACACATGGTTGGCTAGAAGGTTGATGTGAAGAATGAATAAGAATGACTACAGAAGGAAGGGAGATCAAGAGGGTAAAAGGGACCTTGAATTATGGCAAAATAACATGTGCCAGGAGCAATTTTGGTGCTTTATACTTGTAAAAGCACTTGTTAAAGAACACACAGTCTTTGCCTCCCAGCTCTGTTATCTTCACATTATAGCAAACAAATACTTCTCTGTAGGTGGCAGTGCACTTACGTAAGCATCACGCTAGGGGGAGGGGGAAGGTGTGGGGAGTGGAATTATTTTGAACATTTGAAAGCATTTATGTAACTTGAATCTCATATTATGGCTTTTAAAATGTGCTTTTCCCCATAATTGGTTATGCTTAATTTGTACTTGCTCAGAAGCTTTTTCTCTCAGAAGTATTAGAGTTAGAAAATTATCAGTCCTCATTTTATGATAGTATGACTGATATAAACATGTCAGTGAAGAATTGAAAAAAGCTCTCTGAATGTGGCAGTGGCTATCATTTTGTCTTTGGCAGCAGCAACATTTGTATTGTAGACCATGAAAACTGTGCAAATACAGATACAACTATAGGCCAAACTGTATGTATTGTACAGGCATTGAACCTGCAGGTGTTTTAATAGGAAATAGTTTTTCCTAATTGCATCTTTTAAACTACTCATAGGATTTATTAAAGAAACCTGAAGCCTCAATTTATCTCTCATAGAACACTTTGTGTATCCCATCAGCATCTATATCACCTAAGGTCTTTTATTCTAGTGCTGAAAGATTTGCCCCATTTTGTTGTTCATGTTGACTTTCTTACATCTAAAATACTTACATCTGTGTATACAATCATCTTGTCTTTGCAGCACTTAAATGCAGAGCGCTCTTACAAATCCCAGATTTCAACTTTACACAAGTCTCTTGTAAAGATGGAAGAAGAGCTTCAGAAGGTTCAGTTTGAAAAGGTGTCTGCACTTGCAGACCTGTCTTCTACGAGGGAACTCTGTATTAAACTTGACTCAAGCAAAGAACTTCTTAATCGACAGCTGGTTGCCAAAGATCAAGAAATAGAAATGGTATGTAATACATTGAGAATTGCTGTTACTTTAACATTAGTACAATTTTGAAAAAGGGATTTGTTTTTTTATAAAATACTGTATCAAATGTTTGTGCCTTTAGCTTTAAATTTTGTTTTTATTATGCTTTTTAAATTTTATTTTTAAAGTTTAAAAGGTTAATTTATGACAGCTGTGTTCTACAGAATTCAAGAACATAAAAGACCCAACATCTTTCTTTGAACTTGTAGTTTGCAATTGTGTTTAGTCAGAATTATAAAACACATTGACAGAGCTGTGAGCAAAGAATCACGAGTCTTATTCAGCTAAATTATAACCTTAATGGTATTCTTTTCAGCTAAATTTATCTAATAATTAGATGAGTCCTTTTAAGTTGTAATGCAGTTGATTGTATCTACTTTGCACTTACACTTGGATATTCAAACCATGCAAGCTCATGCTCTCTAGAACCTCTGAATATTGGCATATAAACAGTTTGAGGTGAGTAGAGAAATAGAAGAGTCCATAAGGAATTGCTGCTGAACTTGGGTGGATGGGGGCATTCCACATAGGCAATTGTAGAGAGGTCCATGTAGATTCTTGAATGAAAAGAAGTATTTTTAGTGACCAATGTGATGTGTTTGAGAAGTAAATCTGGAGGGACAGAATCCAGCTCTTAGTGTATAGATACTGTACAGTGTAACTGAAATATCAGCAAATCTTGGGCACCTTGGTTATTGGTTATTACTAAACCTTATTGAATTTCTTATTTTGTTAATCCACCCTTTATGATATATTTGAGAATCATGTGTCTAGTTTATAAGAATCTATTAATCTTTAATGAAGTACCATCTGCCCAAATCTTCACTCATTCTTAATTATTTTTTATTTCACCATGAACTTTTTTAATGATTAATTTGCTATGTAAAAACTTAAAAAATAATAACCTTTTATTTAAAAATTTACTTGATGTTTTCTAATTGGAAAAGCCTTAGCTTGTTACTATAACAACTGAAATGATATAAAAATCAAAGTATCAGTAGTTATAAGCCCGTAGCTTATAAAAAACAGCCACATGCCATGCCAGGCAGTGGTGGAGCACACCTTTAATCTCAGCACTCAAGAGGCAGAGGCAGGCGGATCACTGTGAGTTCGAGGCCAGCCTGGTCTACCGAGTGAGATCCAGAACAGGCACCAAAACTCAAAACTACATGGAGAAACCCTGTCTCGAAAAACCAAAAAAAAACAAAACAAAAAAAAAAAAAAAAAAAAAAAAAGCATGCCACTTGCAAGTAGAGTACAGTCCTATAGTAATCTTCCTTAAACTTTTAAATCATAACCCTCTTAGCAGAACCCTGGATAAAACTTGCTAACAACTTAATTTAGGAAACATTTTCTGTAAGTTTTATAGCTTCTTCTTCCCACGGCACTTCAAAAGTACTTCTGGCATTAACTGCTGTGACACTGAACTGTTTATGTATGCGTCTTTATCTCTTTAGTAAGCTATGTTGTCAAATGCCAGGATCATCTTTTTATTTTTATACTTCTTCAGTTATCGAAAACATTGGGATTAAAAAAAATTCTGTGGTAGTTTGAATGAGAGTGGTCACTATAGGCTCAGATGTTTGAATGCTTTCAAGAACTGTTTGGAAAGGTTTAGGAGATGTCACCATTTTGGAGAAAGTGTCTCATTTGGGGTGGGCTTTGACATGTCAAACATCCATGCCATTCCCAGTTAGCAGTCTTTCTACCTCCTACTTGTGAATAAGGATGTAAGCTCTCTGTTCAGCACCATGCCTGTCTGCGTGCTGCCCTGTTCCCTACCATGATTGATGGTCATGAATTCTAACCTCTGAACTGTAAGCCCCCAATAAATATTTTTTTCTATAAGATGCCTTGGTCATGGTATCTTATCACAGCAACAGAAGGTAACTAAGACAATTTGTGATTTTTTTAAGGGGACAGGTTTGCATCTAATTTAATTATACAAAGAGTACCTGTTACCTAGTTTCCCTTAATGACTACATCTTACAAAACTATAGCCTGATATAATATTGTATTAACTTCCAGGCAAAAGCAAGAAACCGTCCATTGTAGAATCTATCATGTTTCCTTTTTGCATAGTTCTCTACTATATTCTGTCTGCATGCTTCTTAACCTCTGCCAGCTGTTAACCTCTTGCTCATTTCAGGAATTTTGTCATTTCAAGAACCAGTAAGAATGGGGGAAGGACAATGAAGGAAGGAAGGGACTTAAATAAGAACAAAGTAATATATATTTATAGATAGAATGAAGTGTTCTACTTTGTATGCTAAGTAAAATTAATTTAAGAGGATGTTAATATACATGAAATCACATGATACAGATTTTTGAGGATTGGCTTCTCTTCCTCAGCCTGAATCTCTGGAGACTCATTCAGGTTGTTGCATCTGTCATAGTTCACCTTTTACTGCTGAAAAATATTCTGTGCTGTTGGTATAACTAATTAGCCATTCACTCACTGAACATCATGTGGGTTGTTTTCAGTTTGGAACTTCTGAAAATAAAGCTACCATAAACATATATGAGCACTTTCTGTTGTTTTATTTGCTTTTTGAGACAGGGGTTTGATGTAGGATGTCCTTCTGTACACCACAAATACATGTTGCTTTTATTGGTTGATGAATAAAGCTGCTTTGGCCTATGGCAGGACAGAATATAGCTAGGTGGGAAAGCCAAACTGAATACAGGAAGAAAGAAGGGCAGAGTCAAGAGAGACACTAGCAGCCACCAGAACAGTAAGATACCAGAGCATTAGTGGTAAGCCACAGACCAGTGGCAATACACAGATTAATAGAAATGGATTAATTTAAGTTGTAAGAGCTAGTTAGTAATAAGCCTGAGCCATTGGCCAAACATTTATAATTAATATAAGCCTCTGAGTGATTATTTTATAAGCGGCTGTGGGACCGGATGGGATGCAGAAAAGCCTCCAGCTATAGGGTTTCACTATATAGCTTGGTTGTATGAGTGTAAGTCTTCATTTCTCTGCAAGTGGTCACAAATGATATTTTTAGGTGATATGTTAATTGTATGATTACTTTTCAGAAAAGTTCCAAGCAATTTTCCTAAATATTTGTATCATTTTTCTTGTCTATTAATGATAATGAGTGATCTAGTTTTCCCACATCCTTGTTCAAAGTTATCACTTAAAATTTTTTCTTTAGCATTCTATGTATGTACAGTGCTGAATGAGGGTTATTTAAATATTCATTTAACCACTGAATGGCAAAGGTGAACTTTTCTTCATGTTGTTGTTTGCCATATACATGTCTTTGTTTGTTGTGACATGTCTCCTGTTATTGTCCATATTCTCATTGGATTGTTTTTCTGATGTTGAAACTGACTTAAGGAAAAGCAGAAAACCTGGTTGTCTTAGGGTTCCTATTGCTGTGAAGAGACACCATGACCATGGCAACTCTTATAAAGGAAAACATTTAGTTAGGGCTAGTTTACAGTTTCAGATGTTTAGTCCATTGTCACCACTGTGGGAAGAATGGGGGCATTCAGGCAGACATAGTGCATAGAGCTAAGAGTTCTACATCCAAATCAGCAGTCAGCAAGAAGAGAAACTGAGACACGCTGGTCACACTTCCTCCAACAAGGCCATACTTCCTAATAGTGCCACTCCCTATGAACCTATGGGGGCCATTTTCTTTCAAATCACCACACTCACACTAGATACACCTCTAAATGAATATAAAACTTGAAATGGTAACTTGAGAACTTCCAGAAAGCAAATTGAGGTCTAGATTGCTTTAGTTGTGAATTCCCTTAAGTGTTGAAAGATGTTCGGATACAAAAATGTTTAACTCTTCTGAAGATAAGGGAGAACATTTCTCAACATATTCTAGACTCCAATATGATGCCCAATCCTGGCTAGAGCCCCCACTAGGGTGCTGGACTGAAATGACATGCTAGGTGTTTCTGTGTCATTATGTGGAAAGTATTTAGGTGTTCATCATTAAGTATAGTGGTTGCTGTAGGTTTTTGTAGATGCTTTTTATGAGATTGAGAATGTTTCTTTGTATTCCCAGTTTATAGTTTATTTTTACTAACGTAGTCAGCTCAAGAAAACAAAACACCAGTATTTTTTTATTATTTTTTTTTTTTTGGTTTTTCGGGACAAAGTTTCTTTGTGTAGTTTTGGTGTTTCTCTGAACTCACAGAGATCCACCTGGCTCTGCCTCCCAAGTGCTGGGATTAAAGGCGTGCGCCACCGCCGCCAGGCAAGACCAGTATTTCTTATGACTATAATTTCTTTTGAAAGTCTTAATGTGATAACTACAAAACCAGATCCAAAGCTGGGGAGATGCCGTGTCAAATGCTTCCAGTTTGCTTCTTTTCCACCTAACCCCCAAACCCTAGTTACAAGATTAGGTTAGTGATTTGAGATCTTCTGGGAAGGTCACAGAACAGAAGCTCAACACTAGGACTAACATTTGGATCCCCAGCGCCCATGTAAACGCTGAGTGCTTGGTGGTGCCTGAAGAAGTCCTGAAGAAGCACAGACAGGTGGGTACCTGCAGCTCACTGGCAAGCCATTCTAGCCAATCAGTGAGCACCAGGTTCAGTGAGGGACCCTGTCTCCAAAAATTAAGGTAGAAAAGCAATTGTAGAAGACATCTGAGTTGACCTATGACCTCTACCACACATGTGCACACACACTCCCGGGCATGTGCACATTCAACACACACACACACACACACACACACACACACACACACACACAACCCAACAGCCCATGAAATGAATTTATAGGCTACTCAAATGGGAGTTATCCCATGAATGTAGGATTGGTTTGTACCTGAAACCAATCAATGTAGTACATATTGAATAATCAAGAACAAAACCTGAAAGATTTTCTCAAATAGATGAAGAAAAAGAATTTGGCAAAATCCAATACCTTTATGTAAGAAAGAATGATTATAATCTGGGAATACAAGGAGCCTTTTTCAGTCTCATAAAAAATATCTATGAAAAACCTACAGCAGCCAGGCAGTGGTGGCACACCTTTAATCCCAGCATTCGGGAAGCAGAGGCAGGCAGATCTCTGTGAGTTCAAGGCCAGCCTGGTCTACAGAGCAAGATCCAGGACAGGTACCAAAACTACACAGAGAAACCCTGTCTTGAAAAACCAAAAAAGAGAAAAAGAAAAAAGAAAGAAAGAAAGGAAAAACCTACAGCAGCCACTGTAGTTGATGATGAAAACAACTGACTGTTTTTCCACGATGACAGAAGCATCGTGACACATGCTAGGTGTTTCTGTCATTAGCTGAAAAGCATTTAGTAGTATCTAGACACATTTGGGGTTGTTATGAGCAGAGTGGGGATGCTGTTGGTATCTGGTGAGTGGAGGTCAGGGATAGTGCTAAACATCCTATAATCCTTGGGAGAAGCTCCATAAGCAAAATTACCCAAATTAAAGTGTGAGTGTCAGGGTACATAGAGTATCAGGACAAGAAACTCTGCACTAGAAATAGCATCTTGTTTCATTTTATATCTGTTTGAGTACTAGCAAGGCATCCGAGTTTGCTTTCCTGTTGCTGCCATAAATACCACGACCAAAACCAATTTAGAGAGGGAAAGAGGTTTCTTTCTCTTATGTTTCCAAGTCACAGGCTATTATGGAGGAAAGTCAGGAAAGGAACTCAAGGCAGGAACCTAGACCAGAAACCATGGAGGAACACTGCCTACTGGATTGTTTGGATTGTTCTTTTCTGCCTGCCTTCCTTCCTTCCTTCCTTCCTTCCTTCCTTCCTTCCTTCCTTCCTTCCTTCCTTCCTTCCTTCCTTCCT